AACAGTTAACACAATTCGATACCTTAATACCACATTAACTCGATAGTCCCGAACTCCAGAACTACGATACCTAATCACCTAAATTCTCATTTCTCTATTACCAATCAGATTACACTAGACCTTCAACTACACAACAGCCAAGTAAAAAATACAATACTTTGAACACCCCGTCATTACAAAACTCTATACACCAGAGCAGATTTCTAATTCAAAGTCAGAGAAAACGAGACTTACAAGCCCTATTAAAAAACAAAAATTGCACGTGTTTTGGAACGCCCCGTCAATCGTTGGATCGATCACTAAATCAACATTAAAATTAGATAACCGTTTGAAAAGTTTGAAATTTAAATTACGGACTTATTTAATCGTTTTCTACACCAATTATGTGACAACAAACAAAAAAGGCAAAATGACTGGTAAAAAGCGCCCCGACCTTTCCAAATTAGGAAGGTGGGGTTGCATTTTCACCATCGCGAATAAATATAGGCCTAAATAGACCTACTTTTGGGGTGGGGGTGCAAAAATTGATAGTTCGTCCTGGGTGCCGAAATAGATCGCTACTCCTTTGTATAAATTACCATCTATAGTTTATAAAAGATAATCAAAGTTATTAATTATTAGGTACTTTTTGATTAAAACGATTAAATCTTTTTGCCCCCCCCCCTAGGGATGGCGCCCTAGACGACCGCCTAGTTCGCCTAACGCTGGCCCTGGGTAGGTGGTGTTATGGTTGATGGTTTGTCGGTGGTGTTATGATTACTAGTGTGTTATGTGGTGTTACTATTTCTCTTATAGAAGGTGGTGTTATTATTGTTTATGTTTTGGGTGGTGCAAGGCTTGCTATAGAGTTTGATAGTACTGAAAGCTGTTGTAGAGGTTCTAGAATGGATGTTGTGCTCATTGTTATGAGAAAAGTTGCCGTACCTGCTAACAAAAAAAAATAGTACTTACGATAAACGACAATAGCTACAACATTTCTTGTTCAGTTCTAAAATTTTAAATTGTTAAAAAAAAAAAAATATTATCCTGTACAGAAATGGTATATTCATCACGATTCTTTGTGACACATAATATATTGAACAATTAAGTCAAATTCAATTTCAGATTGCATTGTCTTCATGTCTTGACCCACGTGCCAATTGTGAACCGTATCCGTCAAGTAGAACTGTCCGAATTTTCGCTCCGGCGTTTCGATCTAGACAGACTGACGAAGAAGTGAGTTAAATAAAAGCTTGTAAAAATGTAGCCTATTCTCTATCTGTTCTGTCGAAATCCTTATTGAAGTCCAGTAATAAATTTTTACACGTCGCTCCCGTTAGATCCTCTAATTTTCTTAGGAGTCCTCCTAAATGACGTCACGCTTTTTTGACGATTTGTACCTCCCCCCTCCCCTCCGTCACACGTTGTCACAAAAAGCCAGACCCCCCCCCCCCCCCCCAAATGACGTGACACCTCAGCCAAGATCTTGTCAGAACTTTGTCAACATAGAGTATTTTGATCAATTCCTATTATAGTTTATTAAAACAGTTTTCTAAAACGCGAAATAAGGGCTAAAACTCGTTTTCTAACTTTGCTTTTTTATCATACAAAAGTGTGACGTCACACCATCTGAATCCCCCCCCCCCCCCTCATCACACACCGTCACTAAATTACGGACCCCCCCCCCTCCCCCCCTACGAGTGTGACGTCATTTATGGACGACCCCTTAGCCTTTCCCCATTTTATTTTGTGGCTTTCTTTTCCAGTTTCTTTAGTACTTGTTTAGTTTTTTTACAGCATTGCCATTCTTGCTTTGTTACTTTTTTCCCCCAGTCATTTTGCATTAACTGTCCAGCTTTTTTGTATGTGTTTACCAAACTCCGAACTATTTCTTTTACTGCTATCCCAATTTTCATTATTTTGAAACTTTGAAATATGCAAATACATCTTTTTGGTCATCATCATTTCAGTGGACCCCTTGTGGGGCATAGAGACGCAACCACTTCTCTCCATCGTACTAATTTGTGGGCGATTCCTCCCAGTTCGGTCCACGACATTGCGGCTACTTCAGTGATAACTGATCTTTTCCAAGTTTGTTTTGGCCTACATGCTTTCCTCTGTCCTTGGGGATTCTAATCTAGTGCCTGTCTGGTATTGTTGTTTGTTGGTTTACGCAAGGTGTATCTAATCCTTCCACAATTGTGACTGCTTGTTAGTAAAGTAAAATAAAGATTCCTCTCTAACGATCCATTGGGCAGATGAAGTGAAGTTCATATGTTTCTTGACCTCGGCATATAAAGGGATAATGTTGTCAGCACTTTGCCCAGCCGCCTATAGTGCTGGTAAGTAGGTCACCAAACAGTTCTATGGATCATGCAGGTTTTGTTGAGCCGTAGAACTGGTTGGTGACCTACTTACCAGCACTATACTTTCACTAACGTAAGTAAGGTACCCATCTGAGTTGGGTGGACTCAGGGACGTTCCACTAAATGTGAACCCGGATTCGAACTCGAAACTATCGGGTTAGCAGTCTAGTTGACTGCTTATTAGTTCTCACCTGGAAGTAATGTATCATTCTAATCCATTTCTTAAATGTCCCTTTTACAAGTCGGTGTTCTGAGCCGGCTTATGCTCATCTGTAGCCTCTTACACGCAGAATTCCCGATACATTTATCTATCTCAAATCAATTTGAATATGAAGTGTTTGTTTATGCTTGCTGTGGGAATTCCCATTAAGGATCAGTTACGGGGTGTGGGGGAGCACAGTGAAAAAAATAAAACTGACGTTGACATGGGTTTTGAATCCGCAACTGACGGGATAGATGTCATCTACTTCACTCGCCCATAGCGTTACACACATTTGTTAAATTTTAGTATTTTGTATTACTCGAGACTCATAAGGGGCTTGTCTAGTCCCTCAAGTAAACAGAAAGCACACAAGTGTGCTTTTGGTCATGGTTAATTCCGTCTGGTGAGTTCTAGGTAAAAAGTAAAGCCCCCTATCAAACGGTCCATATAGTAGGTAAAGCAGAGTTCATCTGTTTCTGTAACAAATAGCGTTTGAGGGAAATTTTGTAAAGCGCTATGCCCAGTGGACTTTACTTTTTCTTACGTGTGTCAGATACCCATCTAGGTGTACTCAGGGACGTTCTAGTGATATAAACCCGGTACTGGAATTCGAGAATTTCGGGTTAGAAGTCGTATGCTATATCATTTGTGCCATGAATTCCAGGTAATTTTATAGACATTTTGTATTTAGTTCTTCACTGCTGTCTGGCACCAACTTCCATCTCCACACTACACACCATCAAAGTCCCACTCGTCCAAAAATCAACAGTTGACTATAGCAGACTATCTATTAGGGAAGGATCTAGTTGTTTAGCTTACGCAGCAGATAAGGGTCGTCAGATGGGGACAGCAACCCATCTAGGAGGGAAACCAGGACTACTAACTCTGGTTTTTCCTTACAGCAGCCCCTGCGTCACAGCAAGGTTGTGTAGGTAACGTCCTGCTCCTTGGTTCCATCAGCTGTGTGGAGTGAGAGAAGGAGGGGGGGGGGTCTGATACATCGGAAATATCTGGCTATTCTCAACTTAGGATACAGGCTTTGTGATCGATTTCCGATGTGCAACCATCCAGTTGTCTATTAGACTATGGTGCTATATAGTTGTTAAATATCTACATCATGTACTCCCTCCAAGGGAGGTGTTCTGGATATCATTCCCTTCAAGTCACAGGAGGGGGGGGGGGGGGGGGGCTCTCAATGTCATTCCCTTCAAATTGATGACTTTCGTGCCATAAATCGACCATAAACTAATGCAACAAAATCCAAGGTTTCACTAAATTCATCTTAAATACTACAGTTTATGACTACTAATCCCAAAGTTTCGAGTTCGGATTCCGACCTCAATTAATTAGGACGTCAGAACTCCATCCAGCTCTGATGGGTACCTGACTTAGGTTTGGAAAACAAAAGCGGCTGATCATAGGGCTGACCAGATTATCCATTCTGTGTGCAGAGGTAATTGAAACAGATTAACATTGCTTCCTCTGCCCGATGTAACTTGGGCTTAAATAGAAAAATATGATATTGATACATTTTAATTTTTTTTAAACGTTAGTCATTCGAATCACAATTTTACCCTCAATGATTTTGCCTAGAGCCATCACAACCTTTATATTTTACAATTCAATTAAAGACTATTTTATATTGGGCGAAAGGACTTTAGCTGTTTTAATAAAATAATAAAAGAACTTAATAGATATTTAAAAAAAAAATCTACATAAAGGGACGGTACCCAAAATAAATTTATATGTGTAAAAAATTACAGCAGCTATTTCCCATTGATCGTTCCAGTAAAGTATTATTGTAAGTTAACGTAAGGTAAACGTAAATGCGTTTAAGGGTGATTAAAATAAATTAATTAGAAAGTATTTGTATTTTTACCTATTTTATAAATTTTAAAAAAAGAAACGAACTTAAAAATCATCTTACATTTTAAAAAAAAAATTATTAACGGGAAGTAATCACGAAAACAACTCAGTTTAAAATTTCCTCAGTTATCTCCCTTTGGCCGTTAATATATTTATTGTATTAAAATTTGTTTTTTTTTCAAAATGTTTTAATTATACAGATTATTCTGCTCTTTTTTAAATATTTTTAGTTTTAATACTAACATATATCATTTTTTTTCCTAAGGAATATGTTTATACAGACTCAACAAACCAATTGAGAAAACTACTAATGGAAAATAATGACTCCATACAGAAATCTAGTTACCTACAACCTCTTCAAAATGTGACTCATCTTTGCTCCTTCTGCCGAGTGTTCTTGTCCCCCAGTGACTTTAGGGAAGGCCACTTTCCCCCCTCAAATAATTTCATCAGCAACATTTTCCAAGCTTTATTGTATGTCACAATGACAGGTAGTTAGGTTTGTGGTGAAATCCTCAAACTAAATTTTGACTAATTTCTTTCACATTTTTCAGACATTATTATTAATCACAACACATGTATATCATAATTAAAAAACATATTTATTTTTTTAAATATAGTGACAAAGAAATCATAGCCACAGTATGCTTTTTAAGTTAACAAAATAAAACTTTACAAAACTTATTGTTTAACATAAACATACTTTTAATCCTACGGAAAAAATGAGCAAAATAAAGTATTGAATTAAATGCTTTTCACAAAGTGCAATAGTACGTAAAAACTCTGGTACATCATTGAGCTGCACAATGTTTGAATTATTTCGACATCAACATTTAAATAAACATAACATTTATAATTATATCTTTATTTCTAGTTATGCGTTCTTCGTACTTAACAAATAGAGCCACACATATTTAGCTAGTTATCTACAAGTCATATAACTCTGACCTAATGAGCAATATTACTCATAAGTGAACATCTTTACAGTATTTAGAAGTTAATGCAGGATAACTCTTTTTTCACTTCAATTTGACTTTCCTCCCCTAAAACATCTATTTAGTTCAAACTTGTAAATGAGACACCTATTTCTAGAAAACATGTATATGTCAAAAATCTGTACAGTACATGGTACTAGGATGAATTTAAACTCTCCCTGGCCATTTTGAGAGCCCCCTCGTAGGTTTTGGTCCCACCAATAAACCCTGAAGAATGAACAAAAATACAGCCCTCAATTCCACTCTTCTCAGATAGCTCGTCGTCACGCAGTCCTCGCCACTCCTCTTTAAGTGACAACCTGCATGGAAAAAATGCTTTTATTAAATATTATTGTGATAAAGGTTGTGTGTATAAAATCCTTAATGAACAAAATATATATTTATCAGAGAAAACAAAATAAAAATAACAAAAACATTGTCAGCCATATTTGTTAGTTGCATTTACTTGTAAATATTTAAGTATTTTTTAGTTATATTAAGACTCAAGAAATTATTTTTATTTTCCTAAAACAAAACAAAATTAAATAATAATAATAATAATAAACAAATGGTAAGGTTTTGTATTTTCTTTTAATCAGTCTATATTTACTTTATTATCAACTAATTAGTCATAAATAAAAATGAGAAGTACAAGTCATTAAAGAAATGGTACAAATGCAACACAGTATATTTTTGGTGGGCTAGTGCTTTACTATTACACTTATTTTTTCATTTCATTCAATTATAATTTTTGTCCATTGGAGTTCCAAAATAATTTATCCCTGAACAATTTCAACACAGAAACAACTCAGGTTATGGCCTAGCGGTAGAGCACTTAACCGCTAACCTAGTCTCGAGTTTGAATCCGGGTTCAACTCAGCGGAACACCATCAGTCCACCCAACACTGATGGGTACTTGACTCACGTTTTGGTCAGCTAGACATTATCTCTTCATATGCTGAGGTCAAGAAACATATGAACTCTACTTGATATGCCCAATTAATTGTTAGGTCTAATTAGGAATCTTTACTATACAACAGCACTGGATGTGACAAATGAAGTAGAGTTCATAAGATTGTCTAACCACTGCAAATGAACAGGTTGTGTGTTCAGATGCATGAACTCTCCCCATCACAAGTTAGCTGATCTGTGTTCTATAAGAATTTACAATAAGCCAAAATCAGGGACTCAAATCTTACATAAGAGCTTATCAGCTGTATGATCAGGACACACCATCACATAAACAGAATTGAACTTAAAATATGTCATAAAGACTTAAATAGTCTGGAGTTCATCATAAAAAGTATTTACTTGACTTAGAAAACATACTCAGACGAGTTAAATACTCGTTCCAAAGAAATATTCTAGAGTATTGATTCCAAACCTGGGTTTGATCAAACCTCAGGGGTCGGCGGAGGTCAAGAGACACACCCCACTCATGTGATTCACAATATGATTTTTTCAGTGCAAACGATAGGACTATCGAGAAAAGGTTTGGTGAAAATGCATAAGAAATTGGTGGGTGGGGTTGAGTACCTCCATGGTCTTGAAAATCACATAAGATATGATAGGACTATCAAGAAAGGTTCGGTGAACATGCATGACACTAGTGGGGTTGAGTACCTCCATGGTCTTGATTATCACCTAAGCTAATGAATGAAAATCAACCCACCTGTTCTCAAATGAGCTCAGGCTAACTGGGACACATTGAACTCTCCACTGACCATTGTCATCAGTGAACAGAACATAAATTATAGGTGGGCTGATGTCCAGTTCCTTCTCCAGTGTAAACAGGTGATCCTTCCAGGGTAGTCCCCCTGCTTCAAGACAGATTATTTTACCACTCTCATCCACCTAAAGGCAAAATTAAAATGTTGTAAGGGGAAGTAATAAGTGTAGAATTTTTAAAGGGAGGTTATCTGTGTAGAAATTAAATTTAAGTATGACAATTTTAGAATTTGATAAAAAATGTGTCTTAAAAAAAAACTTATTTCTTACGGCAATTATAAACAGCTTAAGAAGTAATAGACAATGTTAAAGTAAAGCTCTGCATAAATTATATGCTAAAAATTTCCCAAAGTTAGAGAACAAAAACATTTTCATAAAAAACTTAGGGTTAGCCCTAAATATAAATACAAAGTGAAATAAGAAATTGTTAGGCTATTGAAGGCTAGTTCAGCTAGTAAATTTGCTAGAATTGATTTTCCCCTGAAAAACATCACATGCCCATCTATGATCCATCATGGGAACAAGACAACCTCTTAAGTAAGTTATGTTGTCTTTAAGTACTATGGAAGTTATAGTTTCTTTGATAATTTTAAGTACTAAGTTATAGTTACTTGTAGCTCAAGCTATGATGCTGATGAAGTTTACTTCTGCTTGTCCAATCTTAATTGTAACATTGGAAGAGATTTTCTTATACATAATTCAATTCTTTCAGGACATATAGGCCATTAACTCCTTTTTTTTCAGCCTGCTTTTCTTTATAAATTTGCTTCCATAGCCTTTGTCCAACCAAGAACAAACTACAAGACAGCAGTTGTTTAATTTTAGAGTTTTTTCTCCTAGATTTGACCCCAGCTATAAAGCCTCATCTGCCCATTGACAGCCGTGAGCTTTACCGACCTAACCACTGCGACCCCTGCTGGAACTTACATCAAATCTGTTTTTTACAGCAGCGGCCACAAGTTGACGTGCAGGTAGCCATGTTGTCTTGTAGTAGGTGACCCTGTCCAGAAACTCGCTGCCCACCAGATCTAAAGCTTTCTTAAACTGGGCCTGATCAAAGTAAAATAAAAAAAACAATTTGATTTAAAAATTTATAAATAAATAACTAATTTAATTTAAAATAAAACTGACACAAAATTTAAATCCCAAACTGATTTATTAGCTGTGAAGGAAAGTTTTTTTTATTACAATAAAATGACTTCATATTCCATTTTTGAACATGATGGATCATGGGTAATTGAAGTAGAGTTCACCTATTTCTGTGAAGGGATGGTGTGGACAGCACTATGCCCAGCAACCTTTAAAAAAAAATTCATAAAAAACGTTTTAATAACAAGCTTTTATGTAATAATGCACTAAAAAGTAGAAAATAAATTATAGACTACTATTTAAATAACTATAAAGAAAAGCGTGGGTCACTTTAGTATCTATTGGATACCTTTACTAATGTAAAGGAAGACACCCACGCTTTTCTTTATAGCTATTTAAATAGTAGTCTATAATTTATTTTCTACTTTTTAGTGCATTATTACATAAAAGCTTGTTATTAAAACGTTTTTTATGAATTTTTTTTTCAGTACTTTACATGGCGCGCAATGGTTTTTGAACGCAGCCATTGAACGTGATGGCGCAGCTATTGAAGGTGATGACGCGTGTGGTGTGGTTGGCTAGACATGCCTACTAATTCTGTCCAAATTTTTATTAATTCATAAAAAATTAATTAAGCATCCAATTAAGTCAAATTTAGTTTCAGATTGCATTGTCTTCATGTCTTGACCCACGTGCCAAATGTGAATCGTATCGGTCAAGTAGAAGTTTCCGAATTTTCACTCCTGCGTTTCGATCTAGACTGACGACAGAGCGACGACAGAGGAAGTGAGTTAAATAAAAGCTTGTAAAAATTTTTTTTTCCTAACAGGTACACATCACAACATGGTTGAACTCAGAGACATTCTACGGATTTAAACCCAGATTCAAACTTGAGTCTTTCGGGTCAGAAGTCATATGCTCTACCATTCAACCACACTGTCCCATCATCCATATAATGGTATCTAAAGCAATGCCATCCATGATTAGGGTTAACATATCTTTAGCAGTTGCATGGCCTGAAAATCCAGAGCTGCAATAGCAAGATATAACCTTAAAAACAATATGTAAAAAAACATTTTAATAAAATTCTTTTAAGAAACAATACATCGAAAGGAAATTTTAAAAATTTATAATGAACTACTATTTAAATAACTAAAAAGAAAAGAGTGGGTTGCTATATTATGTATTGAATACTTTTACTAGAATTTAAGAAGCTTCCCACGCTTTTATTATTTTAGCTATTATAATTGCAGTTCATTATTCGATTTCAATTATTTTCTGCTTTTTAGCCAATCATTACATAAAAACTTGTTATTAAAATGTTTTTTATGCATATATTTTTCAGTACTTTAAAAATTTAACTTCAATAGAAATGCATGATTAAAAACAATTAGGCACAAAATGAACACAAAAAATGTGCTTATAATAGCGCTGTAAATAATACTTTGACTTTATATATAGGAAACTTTAAATAATACATAAAAATTAATTAGCCATCCAAATAAGTCAAATTTGATGTCAGATTGCATTGTCATCAGGTCTTGACCCAGGTGTCAAGTTTGAAATGAATCAGTCAGTTAGAAGTGGTCGAAATTATGCTAGACAGTTTTGATCTACAAGGAAGCATGACACAGGAAGCAAACTAAAAATAAAAGCTTTTAAAAACAAGAAGGAGAGGGGAATAAGAACCTATAGCACATGTAATAAGTACCACCGATTAGACTCACCATTTCATTCACATTCTTCTCGTTCCACTTGGCATTGAAGGTACTCACTCTGCTGCTGAGGTTTGTGCTGATCCTGTACCTAAAACAGCAACACAAACAATTTTTGTTTGAGACATCGCATGTCTTCTTCTTCGTTCTTAATTTTAGTGTTGGAAGGAATCCCCTCCAACCCAATTAAATATACGTGTCAACTGGTTATGCGCCATTGAGGCTATTGACTCCGATTTCAGCCTGCTTTTCTTTTTGGATTTGCTTCCATAGCCTTTGTCGAACCAAGAATAAACTACAAGGCAGCAGTTGTTTGATTTTGGAGTTTTCTCTCCTAGAAGAGTGGCTGTGCCCAGCTAACAAGCCTCATCTGCCAGAGGGTTCAAACTTGAGACTTTTCGGTTTAGCAATCATGATCTTTACCGACTCGACCATCCCGAACCCTACATCGCATTTAAAAGTTACGACATTGCTAGACACAACATGTGAAATGCTAAAAAAGAAAGTACAGTTCCTCTTTCGAGGGTTACAGTAAAATAAGTTGACCACATGATATAAACTAACCTGGGTGCGCCATCCAACTGATCAATCCCATTATTAGAGGGTTACAGTACAATAAGTTGATCATTTGATATAAACTAACCTGGGTTCACCATCCGAGTGATTAATCCCATTATCGATGCCGTCAATCTCCTCGACAAAATTCTCATACACCTTATCATAGACAACCTTAACAACATTGTCGTCAGTCGGCAGCTCCAGAACTTTCGCCACGATGTCCATGCCGAAGTGATAGTAGATGAGTCCAGCACTGGATAGCTTCGTCACCCATTTCTTGTCTGGGTTTAAGCTATTCATGCTTTCGTTAAAACTCCTGGAACAGGTGTTAAATAAAAATTAAAACACATTTATCATTGACAATGCCCGTAAATAATAAATTGCACATTATATTTATATTCATGGGTCAGTCCAGCCTTGTGGTAGAGACTGCTGACCCGAAAGTCTTGAGTTCAAATCCGGGTTAAAATCAGTAGAACATCCTGACCCCACCCAGCTCTAATGAGTACCTAACCCACGTTAAGGAAAGCAGTGACGGCTGGGCATAGTGCTGACCACATTATCCCTTCACATGCTGAGGTCTTTGAAACAGATGAACTCTACCTATTCGGCCCCATATATCTTGGGCATGAACAGGATAAGATGATGATTATCTATATTAATAATTGACACACAAACACATTTTAATCTAAACTCAAGAACTCCTATCTGAAGTCGGAACAAAAAACTGCAATCATTGTAAAGGGGGAAAAAAGTCTTGCTATTGGGTGCGTCATATTCTTTTGAAAATTCTGATCAACACAGAACCTAATGCTATTACCTTTGATGATGGTCATATCGATGCTTGCTTGGGTCGTACACACCACCAACATCAACTACTATATCACAGGTGTCCAGAACTTTGGGATCTCTACTCCTGGAATAAGAAATATTACATTTTTTTTAATGTAAGGGAAATAAGTTAAAAAATTTAAATGTAAGAAGAAAGTTTTGAGATAAAAACTTATTTTTTACTTAAGTGAAGATAAGTAATTTGCAAATTATTAAATTTAAAAAATGTTAATCTTAGTTAAACATTGAAAAAAAATTACACTCCCAAAATAAATTAAACACTTTTAAAAAAAAAAATCAACCTTTCAATTGAACCAGATCAGTATTTGTATAAAAGAAAAAAATTAAATAATATTAGAATACAACTAGGCCTAAGTTGTTTTTTTTTCTTAAAAAGAAACAATAAATTAAATCTGTCATTATTTTAAATTTAAGCCCAAATATTGTTAATTAGAAACTTTTTAAAAACTCTCGTAGCTCATACCTGACAATTTCAGCATCCTTGTACTCATCTAAATGGGTTAACATGAAGCACGCTAACACTTCATCACAGTGGAAAGTGCCGTTATGAGTGCCAATTTTTTTCATCAGGTGCGGCTGTTTGCTTGCTGGCTCTGATGTTATAGACATTCTTCCGAGAGCCCAACAAGGATGATTATTGAACTTAAAGCGAGAACAGTTCAAAAACAGGGTGTTCTTTGCTTGAATAGTTCTGAAATAAAGAAAATTTCAATTATGGATGTTAAAAAAATATATCTTACCCTAATTATTATTAGACAACTAATGCTAATTGGGCATAGTGCTGACCAAACTATTACTTTATATGCCAAGGTCACAGAAACAGGTGAACTCTACTTCACTTGCCCCAAGGCCCATCAGGTTCAAAAAGGGAACTCAAACTCTTAAATTCAAACTGAGATTATTGCTAGTTAGAGAATTTCTACTACCGATGTACAACAAATAGGCTTTTTGAAAAAAATTGGAGTGTTAGGATGTGAGTAGTATTGTAATATCAAATGTAAATGTTAGGACTAAAAAAATGCAATTCTGGGTTATGGAATGTATGTGCTATACAAGTGTCCTGTTAATGCCACATTAATGAGTTCTTTTACAAAAAGTGGTGCTAGGTATATGAAAAAATATATAATCTTTTAGTTTACTAATTTATTAGTTGGCTAATTTAATCTGAAATTACAATGAGTAAGTGAAATCTTTGGATCTCCATCCAATTCACTTTTTAACAAGTTTAACTCAAGCAACATCTGGAGATTTAGATCTGCTAAATTTAAATATTGTAGGCTGCTAATTTTAAGCGAAATTGACTAATTAGCATTAGCTCGTCAAAACACAATAAATGAGATAAATAGGCCTATTTATAGTAATCTATCGTTTTTGGTACGCAAAATTGTCCGAGAATAGTTATGTGCAAAAAAGGTGACTCTAAATTTTAGTAATTATTTCACATTTTTTAGGAGGGTATATGTTTTAAAAGTTACAAAAATGTTTCAAAGTATCATTCATGTACCTGTTTTTAAACAATTGTATTAAAACTTTTCAGTAATAAACAAAGACTAGCTATGTTTTCATTGGATGCAACCAAGCTCAATTACTTTCGCAGACATCTTGTTTAAGTTTTTTTATGTAAAATTATAGTTAGAGATTCAGGGGAAACCACTCTAATTTACACTACAGATGGCCGCTGTTTATATAGCAAATCTTGGTAGCAAACACTGATGTTTAAAGCTAATTTCTGGCCTACATTGATATATTTATTTAGCGAGAGATTTTGGTTTATTATTCAGTTATCTATAATATTTGATACAAATATATCACAACATACTTCTATTAAATTAAAGCCTTAACAATGAGGCAACTTTTTTTCACATTACTAGCTTCGGTCTACCCTATTTATTCAATATTATTAATCAAAATTAATAATTACAGTAGCCCACAAAACAAATTTTCAAATAGTATAGGCCAGTATGTATAGGATAGGCTGAAATAAGTATATCTCTATTCTAGATCTAGTGACAGCTAGACTAGTCTATTTTTAATTTTACCATACACAGGGACTCTAATTTTTGTTTAGTGAACTTTTACTGTCTGTAGACTGTACTGTTACTGTTAGAGCGTAGAAGCGACACTGACTAGAGATCTAGATCTATATTAAATATTATGAAACAAACTAACATACTGGGGGTATGGAGTCAAAGTAGATCTAGAATCTAGATCTATAGTGGCTGTACTTCTTCTTCGTTCTTAATTTTTAGTGTTGGAAGTGATTGAGCCTTATCTGCCAGAGGGTTTGAACTCCAGACTTTTTTTCGAATTTATCAACCACGCCTCCATCAAAATTAAGTATTAAGGATACGTGTCAAATGATTATGCGCCATTGAGGCCATTGACTCCGATTTCAGCCTGCTTTTCTTTTTGGATTAGCTGCCATAGCCTTTTGTCCAACCAAGAACAAATGACAAGGCAGCAGTTGTTTGATTTTGGAGTTGTCTCTCCTAGAAGAGTTAGAGTGGCTGTCGCCAGCAAATGAGCCTCATCTACACAAGGGTTCGAACTCGAGACTTTTCGGTTTAGCAACCATGGGCTTAAGTTTAAGTGACTTGACCACACAGACCCCGTGGCTGTACAGAGTGACGGTGTCTGAGCGTCGGTCTGACTGAGAGTCAATCTTATTCAATGATTGTCAGGGAGTGCCTACCGTGTAGTGTGTAGATCTAGAATCTAGGATTCTGATTGAATCTAGTCTAGACCTAGCTAGACTCTAGATCTACTAGATTGTAGATCTAGATTTCTAGATAGTACCTACGGCCAGAGTTTCTTCCAGGCATCCCCCCCCCCCAAACGAAATTTATATAGAAAATAAATACTTTTAACAGTGTCCGCCCCCCCCCCTCTTCCGAAGAAAAAAGTCTGGAAGAAACACTCACACTGTGACCTGTCTACGGCGTACCTACGCGCTTGCGGCCTAGATCTACTGACTCGTCAGTAATCAGCATTAAAGTTATTAAAGTAGATTTAGAGATCTAGATCTAGATCTAGATAGATCTAAGATTAGTAATACGTTTAATCATTTGTAAATTGAGAATACAACCTTATAGTAGCCCTTACAAGTGGTGATACAAACATCAATTACAATTTAAATCGTCTGCATGTGTAAACTATTGTAAATATTAATTTTTGGCTACTTTCACTTTCGCCGAACCACGACGATTCAATGATTGTCTATGGCGGGGCATTGGCGGGGGATTTCCCGAGAATACCTTTCTATGTTTTTAAATCCAAATTTATTATGGTCCAATTATTATGGCTATTCATACGTTAAACACTTTTATTTTCATTTTTTTTTAATTATGCATTTTCTTGTATTTTCACTGTTTCTAAAGTTGTTTATATCGTTCGATTCTAAATAGACCCCAACTATTCTAATATGTACTTCAAATAATTTGGCTTAAATTTTAAACCAAAATTTCAATGTCACTGTTTCTAAAGTTGTTTATATCGTTCAATTCTAAATAGATTTAATAGATCCCAACTATTCTAATATGTACTTCAAATAATTTGGCTTAAATTTTAAACCAAAATTTCAATGTCACTGTTTCTAAAGTTGTTTATATCGTTCAATTCTAAATAGATTTAATAGATCCCAACTATTCTAATATGTACTTCAAATAAATTTGGCTTAAATTTTAAACCAAAATTGTCAATGTCATGTGGAGTAGAGTAAGGGTAATTTTAACTGTGATCAGATATTCGGAAATGCAGCCTGATACCCATCCGGGTTTTTATCCTTTTGACACTGAGCAAGGGGAAAATGATAATTTATGAGAAAATAGTGTGGTATCTTAAGAGCTTAGATCACAGTAATAAGGGTGTAATCAGTGTTTCTTCCAGACCCCCCCCTCCCCCCGAAGAGATGCCTGGACGAAACTCTGGGTGTAATTCGTCAGATATATCTCGCAGTTTCTTTTTTCGCATTTTACCACCTCGCAATTTTACGTTCCGCGTTTTTGCAGTTTATTAAGAAACATTCCAATCAAGTTGGCGAACAGTCAATGTCCTTATGCCAAGATGAATATTTAAGCCCAAATAGAACCAAATTTTAAAAATAAAATATAATACTTGTATAAATGTGGCGGTGTGTACAGAGTTTCTTCCAGGCATCTCTTCGAAATGGAATTTATATAGAAATTATATACCTTTAATAGGATCCGCCCCCCTCCCCGAAAATTTTTGCCCGGCCCCCGCGAAAATTTCAGGTGTCCCCCCCCCCCCCCTCCCTCCACCGGAGAAAAAAGTCTGGAAGAAACACTGGGAGTGAAGAATGGGGAAAAGGAGGGGAAACAGGGGTGGAATTCTGAAAGTGTGACGATACGCTTGAAAACGTAATGCTAGAAACAAAACTTATACCCAACTCACCTTTTTTTTTAAATAGCATGTAAAAAAAAGTATCCAAATATAGTATTAAGTAATCGCTGTTATTAAAATAAATAATTAATTTAAATTTTGAGAGGGGCTTTGGTGTATTGTCATGGCACTTGCCGTGCAATCAGGCTATGTATGCCTAAATGTTTTGACTTTATTTTTGAAATACTAAATAGTTCTAAATCAGAGGCGTAGCGACCCTTCCCGGCGCCCGGGGACAAACTTGCATTATTTATATTTATAATGCAAAACTGCAGCTAAAATGAGATTTTAATTATTTTTTCCAACCCATTTTGGCGCCCACTACGGTCGGCGCCCGGGGACATAATTATGTACCCTCCCTCGCTACGCTTCTGTTCTAAATAGATTAGAAACGCGTAGGCATTTTTGTGTACCAAATGTACGCAAACAATGTGTGTTTAATAGATGGAAAAGTATATTACTTTATAGAAGAAGACTTTAATTATTTTTTATACAGTTAACAGCATTTCGTTTACAAGATTCCGCCCATGACGAGGGAAGACAGAAAGAGGAATCAGGTTAAATACTTATGTGAAGTACTATACTTCCGATGTTCGGAAATCACTCCAAAATTACAGAAACCTCCCATGTACGTGAGGAGATGTCATGTCGAGGTGAGGTGATGTCATGTCGAGATGAGGTACTGTCTGGCGTAAAAATAAAGCAATGGATTTAATGAACTCATTGAATTAGTTTAGGACATTTGGCGGATCTGTCTGTTCTTGGTTTTTTTCTCTTAGTCGCTTTTAAATTCTATCATTGTCCCACCCAGAGACTTAGCGAGGGCGGGGCGGGGGGTGCCGACCGCACCGGGTGACACCGTTTAGGAGTGTGACACCAAGGCAAAAAAAGCTTACACAAATATATGTACGCGGCATATATTTAAATTATATGCCTATGTAGGCCGACACAAACACACACAAACACGCATATATATATATATATATATATATATATATATATATATATATATATATATATATATATATATATATATACACTTTGTTTCTTGGGGGGGGGGGGGGGGGTGACACCAAGAAGTGCCGCACCGGGTGACACCCGACCTAGCGACGCCACTGGTCCCACCTTCTCCTTATTGAAGGTACAACTTCCTGGATCAAGTTAGAAACCAGGTGTCTTAGTAATGTCATACGAACTGTAATTGGGATAAACGCATATTTTTAGGATAATAGTGGCGCGCGAAAACTAGTTCAATTTAATTCTAGACTGTTGGGATATCGTAAACCCCGTATTGCGCCTAGTTAGTTATCGTTCTGGGTTGCCTCAGATGGACTAGTATACAAACACAGGTTGAAAACGTAGTAGTCGAATGGTGAAGCACTAGACTGCTAACCCGAAACTCTTAAGTTCGAAACCGGGTACAAGTAATACCAACTCCTGTAAGCAGAGGCGTAGCGAGGGGGGGCGTGGGGTGCGTACCGCACCGAATGACACCATTTAGGGGGATGAAACCAAGGCAAAAAAATAGCAAATTATATAGAGAAAAATGATAAATAGTGTTTTAAGAGGTGCAAGTCAAAAGTTTGAGAGGGGGGGGGGGGTGAAAAATCGAAAGTTTGAGTGGGGGGTGGGTGCAAATCGGAAATTGAAAGTTTGTCCCCGGGAAGTGTCGCTACGCCTCTGGGGGGGGGGTGACACCATTATGTGCCGCACCGGGTGACACCCGACCTCGCTACGCCACTGCCTGTAAGTACCTAACTCACGTTAGGAAAAATAATGTCGTCTGTCCGCACTCTTCCTGCATGTGCCAAGGTCACAAAAATAGGTGAACTCTAACTTCACTTGCCCCATAGACCTTCAGGTTCTAACGAGAACTTTACCTTTTATTAGAAAGTGGTCTATTTTTTGGCCGAGATGGACTCGTATTTGGAAACAAGTTAGAAAATGGTCGATTCGTATAACACATGACTACTAATTCAAAAGACCGGAGTTCCGATCCCGAACTCCACCCTACGTAAAGTACCTGAGCCAACTCAGCTGTAATGAGTACCTGACATTCGATGTATTCTGTCATTTATAATATTATGTATGTGTACGTATTGCAACCAATAACAATTGTTGAATAAAAAGTAAAGAATCCTCTTTAGACTTACCGATCCATTGGGCAGATGTAGAATTCATATGTTCCTTGAAAGGAAGGCATTTGAATGGAAGGCTTGGTCAACACTTTGCTCAGCCCTAACATAAGACAGGTACTCATCTGTGCTGGGTGAACTCAGGGACGTTCAACTGACTTGAACCCGGATTCGAGACTTTTGGGTTAGCCGCCTTGCGCTCTACTGCTTAGGCCACACTGTCCCATTGCACACCGTTGCACAATAAAAGAGATAAATACCAGAGGGGTAAATCCCCAAAAACTTCCTGCTTCAGCCAGATTTAAATTATGAAAGGCAGAAAATAATAAAAAAAAATTACGAACAATTGTATTCATTGAAAAGAGAGCATAGAGCATGACGTTATAGCATCACGCGTCGGTAGTTTTAATTCAAAAGCTACACGTTGTTAACATTTTGTAGCTTTTGTTGTTAACATAAATGGTGTGTGAATTAAATCAGCCCAAACAGACCCCGTTTGGGATAATGCTTACGAGGAATCAGATATTGTGATATGACTTGCATGATGTGTCAGTAGCATAAGCGTCTATTTTTTTTTCTTCCACAGAAACATGAGGGGAGAGAAGGAAAAAAAACGGGAGCACATACTCCAAAAATCTCTAGTATATTTGTATGTAACTTTAAGGATTGGGATGGCACTTCCAGAGGAGTCTGGATATTGTCAGGTAGGTAGTAGGTACGTTTCTGACAAACAGCTCTTTATGGAGGAAACACTTAGATTATGCTACCGTATGATACACGGTTATCACTTTCTGAAGGTGTTATTTTTTGATAAACCGGAAATTGAGTAAAGTACCACTTCCGGTTATCGGAAATCGCACAAAAAGTTGAAGTTAAATCGACATATAAGATCGACTACTTAGATATAAAATTTCGTACACCTAATAGAAACACACATATTCACAGAGGCACACACACATACACACATATATATAAAATTATTAAAAAATTATATATATATATATATATATATATATATATATATATATATATATATATATATATATATATGTATATATATATATGTATATATGTATATATATATATATATGTATATATGTATATATATATATGTATATATATATATATGTATATATATATATATATATGTATATATATATATATATGTATATATATATATATATGTATATATATATATATATATATATATATATATATATATATATATATATATATATATATATATATATATATATATACATATATACATATATATATATATATATATATATATATATATATATATATATATATATATATATATATATATACATATATATATATATATATATACATATATATACATATATATATATATATATATATATATATATATATGTATATATAGGCCTATATGTGTATGTGTGTGTATGTGTAATACACTAAGACCCAAAAGAAATTTTGCGCCGATACCCCCACACCCTACGCTCAGCCTAAAAGATCAAGGAATGGTTGGAGCCGCCTATGATCATCAAAGCTTGAAATCAGCGGAGCAGAACGTATCAGCAACACGCAACCAAGTGATGATCCAACACACTTTGAACCAGGATTATCATGCTGCTGGAATCTCCCGTCTAAGTATAAATAGTACCGGATATGTTAGCCCCGTTCCATTAGCAAGACGGAGGTTGTATTGTCTTCACGCTGAATACACCATTACATAGTGAATACTGCGAAGTGATTTAACTTCATCAAATAGGTAAAACGAGTTTTGGCATTATTTTAGTTATAAATTAATGTTGTCTTTAAATTATGATATCGATTTCGGTTGAATATGATGGCAAAGGAATGAAGAGAAAGTAGATTAAATCTATTTATGAGAACTAGGATTAATTAGAGATAAAGTGACAAAATAAAGATTAGCTGCATTATTATTTACCAGACATACTAGGTACTAATTAGAGCTGAGCTAACCCAATCAAAAATATACATAGACATGAGGTGCTTTGAGTTTAAGCATGGTACCGAAAACACAAGAATCTGAAATAAAGGAGAAAAAAAAACCGCCGGTTTGTATAGGAATATTTTCACGCCCTGAATAGAAAAGTGGGGATATTGATGGAAGCGTGGTAAAAAAGTAAAGACCGGCGAAGACAAACAGCAGTGATAAAAATTAAGCGCAAGTAACAACAAATGCATAAACACGTGTTAATAACAAGCAGTTATATAACTCTGTACTAAAAAAGAGAAAATAAATGATTTTTTATTAAATATAAAAATGAACTAGATTTAAATAACGAAAAAGAAAAGGCTTGCTCACTTCTTAAATTCTAGTAACGGTATTTGATACATAATATAGCGAGGGAATGACACACTACCTTGCGGCTTTTATTATAGATATAGTACTAATACTTTAGCTTTAAATTCATTTCAGAATGTCCCTATCACGTTTTACATCCTGGGTCATAGTTCAATTATTTTTAATTGAGATTAGTTCCAGCATTACGGGTGAGTGTGCTTCATTCTTACACAACACTAAGGTTTATATACTGTGTTATGTCTTCCTTGTTTTACATTAGTCCTAAGACACTTGTAGAATCTAGTTAAACTGTTAGACGCTTCGTTTTGTTCTAGTCTTAGATGTTGTAAGGTAAGAAAAGTAGCTTTCTCAGGCTGTTGGTTGTTTAAGTTACAAAAATTACACACGAATTAACATTTTTTAGTGCACGTGAACTACACCAACAATGACGTCATCGACTCCCCGCTGCCCGATGACGTCAACGTGACGGTGATCATCAACGACACAACGTCCGTCCTTCTACAACTCAAGCGTGTCCGCTACGTCGGTCTGGACACGCCTGTCTACACAATCACGACGGACAAAGATGGACGCCTCGTCCGGTCTAGGGAAGTTCTAGACTCCAGCGAGGTAAAGTAGGGAGAGATGTCTTGTCAATAAAAAGAATGTATGAAAGAATGTCGTGTTAAGAAAAGGGTTGGTCGTTACAGCAATTTTGGCATCAAAAGCTAACAAGAGAAGCGGCACACTTGAGATCTGACATGGGCTGCCGAGCCACTGGTTAGTAAAGGCTTTCAATAGGGCTGGTAAGTAGGTCACCAACCAGTTCTATGGCTCAAGCAGGTTCTATTGAGCAGTAGAACTGGTTGGTGACCTACTTACCAGCCCTATTGGAAGCGTATTTGAAAATAAATAAAGGGATGCGACACTAATTTTAAATAACCATGCATTTAATTAATCCATCTACAACAATCATAACAAACTGAAAAATAAAGTTTTCGTAATGCCGGGTGCCCGTTACCTCGTACGTGTACGTGCACTTGTTTGTGTACGTATTTGTGGGCGTATTTCTGTACGTGTAGGCCTACGTGTGTGTGTTATGTGTTGGTTTAAGTGTACGTGTACGTTTAGTGTTAGTGCTAGTGATGGTGATAGTATTAGTGCAAGTGATAGTGATGATTATAGTGCTAGTGTGCTTGCGAGTGAGTTAAATATGGAGGCCTGTACACTTCTACTAAATTCCTTAAGTAATTTTCCCTTTCAAACCTGACGGTCTATGGGGCAGGTGAAGTAGAGTTCACTTGTTTTAAGTAAATTCCTTAAGTAAATGTACACATTTCCCATATATTGAAACGATTGCCATTCCGCAGAATATCGGCTTCTATCAGGACATAAACAGCCACGCCTCGTTTGAAATTGAAAGAATCAACAACTTGGCGGAAAACGAGTTTCACTTCGCTGTGGTAAGCTCAATCAGCTTAAAATAGATAGTTACAAACACAGAAAGGTAACTACGCTATCATCAAATGAGATCGTTTATATAATCAAACTTCTTTTAGCTTTTGCCGGTTGTGTTGTTTAAGGTAGGGTTACGATGAGAAGAACGATACTGTAGAGAGTTACGAAAGGCAACATAATATGTAATCGATTTGCATTTCTAGTAAAGGTAGGTACGATTTTTAAAAACAATTTGATGTCAGATTGCATTGTGATCGGTTCTTTACCCACAAGCTAAGTTTTGGAGAAACTGGTCTGTGGTAAGTGGTCGAAATTTCGCTTGTAGTTTTGATCCATGGCGACAAAAAAACAGGAAAAACGGACAGACAAAATATGCAAGTTAAAAAAAAATCTTGTCGTTAAAAAGGTAGTGGTATAATTTCATAGTAATAAGTATATATATGTATATATATATATATATATATATATATATATATATATATATATATATATATATATATATATATATATATATATATATATATATATATATATATGCATTTTAATATTTCGATATTTAGTTGTGCAATAAAGAATATAAATATGATCTCAACCACCTGTCACATACAGAGAGGAGAGTTTGTACATGCAGGCCAAAAGTACTCACTTTCTCCAAGCACTCGTGTGGAGCGAGATCTTACGTCACAAGACGACCAGTACGATTTGCAGTTAGAAAAACTGCCCTCACATTTTCAAATGGACAGTCTCTATCCAGGTTTGATACTTTTGATGAATGAATTCAGATTTTTTAAAGCCACGTAGGCCATATATTTTAGTTTTTCGCCCAACTATAATTAGGTATATTTATTAACATAATATGTAAAATTGTGCATGTGTACATCTAAAAAAAAACCTTATTATCAACCATTAGCTGTAGAAATATGAGGTCAAACGATTTTTACCGATTATAGCAATAAAGTGTTTAAAAAGGTAAAAAAAAAACTACTTCATTTTTATTTTAAATAATTTATATTTATATTTATTTTTTAATTGCATTTATTACAAAGAAATACTTACTTATCTTTGTTTTTGGTATTGATATTAAGAAAAAACCCAATCTAAAACATGTATTAATGTCACTGTCAACTTAAATTATACATAATTATCCTGGATTTAAAAAATATATAAAAAGGCTTGTGCTACAATGTCATTTTTTTTTGTGAAAATCAAAACAAGCAATAGTCATTACTCCTTTAGTTTGAATTTACCTAATATAGGCATACATATATTAATCCTTAACAAATTTTATTTTAGACTTTTTCTTCAACAGAAGGGGGGGGGGGGGTCGCTTGAAACTTTTAGGTGTCGAGGACTAAATTTTCCGAGAGGGTGGGGGGGGGGGGGACAATAATATAAGTATATAATTTTTATATAAATTCCTAAAGAAACACTGATCTTAAAGTATTTATTCTAATTCTTCTTTACAAAAAGACATTGAAACAAAATTGAATGCCATATAACCGATTTGTACTTTTAGCAAAAACGCCTTCTAACATATTTTTTTCATCCTTTTCGCTGGCCAGAAAACCCAGACGGCTGGCCCTATGATACGTTGTCCCCGAAACTTCAAGCCCGACGACGTCGTCAAGCCAAGGCCGACTACTACATCGACGTCACCGCCATGTTGGATTTCATGTGCTGGAGAAGATTCTTGTCTAAAGCCGCGGGTTCCAGACCTAACGCCATCAACAACGTACTCGAGTATTACGCATATATTTTCAATGGGGTAAGAAAACTTTTAAAGAGTTATGTGACGCCTAGAGCATGCAATAGAAAAATATTTTACTAGGCCTGATGAAAAAAAAAATTCACATTTTACTTTTTTTTTTACTTTAAGGTCGATCTTTTGTTCAAGAGTATAACATCAGCAGGCTTCAAGCTGAACATTAGACTCACTAAAATCGTCATCTGTGAGGTATTTACTATTCGTATTATGT